CTATCTATCTATCTATCTATCTATCTATCTATCTATCTATCTATCTATCTATCTATCTATCTATCTATCTATCTATCTATCTATCTATCTATCTATCTATCTATCTATCTATCTATCTTTAGCCTTAACACTGCAGGATGTAGAATTGTAATGTAATCAGATTACTTCTGAACTTCTAAGGACTGCATCTCTGCACAAATATTGCTTATTATATTGTTTTATGTATTGGTATATATTTTTTTAGCTTTGCACCTCACGAACCAGTGGCAATTCCAAACTTCATCTCTGAGTAGCAGTCACCCACATGAAAGATTGAAAATCATGATGAGGGGTGCTCACATTTTCAACTAGAATTTGATCGACTTGAATGAGTGAGTATTTAAATCAGTCCCGGTTGCTGTAGAGTACTATTCTTCAAAAAGAAAAAGAAAAAAAAGGCTTTTTTTGGATTTGTTGCAGTTGTTTCATCAGAAAAACATCAGGGCAAAACAGTCTCCCAAATCTGAAGCCTTAAACCACTACATATTGACTACCTATCCAGTGATGGCCACTTCAGCTAGTAAGTGAGGGATGGAAAATCTTGATCCTGCTGATTCACTGAATATACTATTTGTGACTTTTTGATGCAAAACTATTAAGTTATTCTGAGGATTTTCCAGCTAAGCGTGGTCTGTTTATTGGTTGATATTTGTATTTAAAAGTGTTTTACGTTATTAAGCAAATAAATCTATTTATATAGCATAATTACATACAATTCCCTCAGATCAAAGTCCTCTAAAAAGAGATGGTAATCCGCTGATATTTAGCAATGATCATGCTTTGGTTTGTGGAACTCAGCCATAAGATTATGATTATCGCACTTCATTCAGGCTCATATTAGCCTGATTACTGTCTTTTTAATGTTTTTATGGAAATCTATGTCTTATTCAGTATGGCACTCTGCTCAGTTAACTGAATGAAGTGTATTGTTAAAGGTTCTGCAAAAATGTAATGCATTTATTCCACATGACAGAATAGTTCTGTCAACTTTATGTGTACATTTTTGGTCTAGACTACATAGTTTGCACATTGTTGGAAACGAATCGATATTCTGCTATAACTCTGTCTCTAAATTTATATATAGTGAGAAAATCACGAAGTGAACTCAAGAGGAAGACATGCAAACACTCATCAATGAAACTCGCAAGTCATTCAGACTAAGCAAACAACTTCAGTTTTCTCTACAGAAAAAGGAGAAATGAAAATGTGCAATCAAGTTTGTCATGCTTACCTTAAGAACAATATTGACATCACAAGACAGTTCATGGTCTCTATGGTGTGAGTGGGCAGTCAGATCAGCCCCTGCTCAGAACATGAGGCATATGATGTGTTTATCCTCAGAACAAAAGCTTATTGTGTCCCTGATTATCCATTTACAGCCTGAGGCCATATGGGTCCTAAGCATGTCTCAGTCAGCCCACCAGCTACAGTGTCAAAAGTTCAAAACTAAAGTTGGTGCTTTTTGCTTGTTTCAGACCTCGTTTCCTCACTTTAATGTCCCTCTCAATTAGAAGAGAAACACATGCTGACAACTATAAAAGAGATCACATTCTAAGAATTTAGTGTTGACTAACACATTCGGTGCCTCCACCTGTGCCCTCATTAGCTGCTGCAAGCTCACTTGATGCCAAATGAGAAAGAGGCTATATAAGGTGATTGGGACACAGCCGTGCCCATTGTTATGCTTGGCAGACAGTGCGATCTAGATGTGGCTGGTGTTTGTGTATTGCAGGAAGCTAAACAGAGAAGTCTGTCAGAGCAACCATGAAAGCATGTGAAGAGCAACTGATTGAACACTTGACCCCGAGCCGTTCGCAAGTTGAACTGTCACACACTCTTATGACACAGCTCGCGGCATGCCATCATGGGTGTCGGACTGTACAGTGAACACATTCATTTGGCCGTGCATTTCAAAGCACTGCATATTTATTAGATAACCTTACAAAAAAAAAAGAAAAAGAGAGGTTGATTTGGACTGCAAAGCCCCTTCAACAAGGTTCCACCAAATTCCTTCCCCTACAACAAACACATCTTTGTTGTTTGCTTTTTGTGTGGTTCCATAAGTCACTGCATATTCTTTCAATTTGTCAAATCTAAAAGGTATACTTACTTCCCGCTTTACGGTGGCATGCTTTTGGAACCAAAGGTTTTGTTGGCACAGGAGACTGCCTTGCTTCCGCGTTACGATGCACATCAGTCATGTGTCACTTTTCCATGCAGCACTGACACTCACAAATCCCATTACAAAAACTAATGGGTTTCTCAACAAGACCATATTTAAAGGAAGCGGAAACAGTTTACAAACGGCATGAAATAAAATAAATATTACACACTTTGGTCCTTTTTTTTTCTTCTTCCAGGTTTGCACTCTTGACCTGACTTTATGTTCTCTAAACATAAACCGATACAATGTTTTTCCATCTGTTTTCAAAAGGCTTTTTAAAATGTATTTACAAAAGCTGAGCAATTCTACGAGATATGCTACAAGTGTGTGCGGTCCTGTGACACCACACAACACTAAAGATAGTGTGAATAATCCCCATCGTGCCCTATATTTACCATAGCCTTTGCGGTTCAGCTACATGTCCACAAACACCATAAAGCACCAGCCGAGCCCCCCCACCAGGAACATGGTGATCTGCATGCTGTATATGATCAGGTCATTGAGCACGCCAAAGTCCAGTCGCCGGTGGCCCAGCAGCAGTAGGATGACGGAGAGCTTGTACTGCAGCCGCAGGAGGACGCGCACGCTGACGTACTGCAGGAAGAAGAGGGCAGAGAGCGAGACCCAGAGCAGGGAGGTCAGCAGACTGCAGCCGAAGTACAGGAGGAACCTCAGGAAGCTGTACATGCAGCGGGAGCGCAGGTACAGGTCGAAGTTGTTGTACTTGGTGCGCACCAGCTTGGATGAGTGAGCCGACCCGCATGCCGAATGCATGCACGTGGTGTGGGGGCCATGGAAGCTGCGCACCCTCCGTGGGATGGGGATCACAGGCATGGATGGGCTACTGGAGCCGGGGTCCGCTGGGAGGGCTGCTTCCGGGGAGTTAGCTTCATCTGGTTGTAAGTTGTCTGACGAACTCTGAGCGGAGGGAGTCCAGAGGAGAGAGGTGGGTGCTCCTGGTGTTACTTCCAATGTTCCCTTTGTAATGCAACACGTCTCTGTAAGAAAATGACAACGTTAATGAAAGTCCTTTAAACGTTTTACAAACACACCATCGCAGAGTAAAACACGCCAGTGAACTGCAGGTATGTGCATACAGAGACCGCATCGGACACGTGTATGAAACGCTGCAAAATTATTTGGTGTAAACCACAGCTTGGACAGTATCCCCCAAAAAGTCCTTTCAACCTCACTGTGCAAAAAGTAAGGGCAGAATCTTACACGCAACAGCACGGCGTCTCCCTCCGCAACAAATGGAAGCTACTTGATTTTCAGACGTTTTGAGGACTTTATCGCGTCCTGAACGGGTTAAGGGGAATATCCTTAACACTTCAATGAGAGCACCTCTTAAAGTCTTGTTTTTTTACTGTGTAGCTTTAGCTAGCAGGGATGAAGCTGCGACGCTGAACCGGTGCCTGCAAATCCCGTCGCAGGATACACGAGTCATCACGCTTTGACGTCATCTGCTCCCCAATTAAAGGGGAAGTGCTTATGGCAAGCCGTTTTAAGATAAATTCGGTTTTGCCGCCCTTACATTCCAGGTATCTCAAATTGTATTATTGTATTATTATAATATAATTCATTTTTAAACCAAAACCTCTCACTGAAGCTGATGGTTGTGTCCAGTCTCTGCAAACCAGCAAAAAGCTCCCTGCCTGTCTCTGACATGACATGTTTTGTTTAGAGACTTTGGAAAATCAAAAAAATGTTTCAAAATGTAAGAATGTGAATACTCAATATAGGATAAACAGATTACAGTAGCTTTAACATCAGGGCAAATACAGGAATAGAATTCCATCCATCCATACATACATGGATGAAGACATTAGCCAGACTGGAAAATCAGGCTATAGAAACGTATATGCAAACATTATATTGCCGACATGCAGCGATACGCCGACAGACACCAACAGCCCAGTTTGGGATGGATTGCGCAATCAGAGGTTCAGCTCGGCTCCTAGCTGGCGCACATCACGTTTCAGCCCGTATTTCAACAGAAAATGTGCAATATTGGCGATTTTGACAATTAAAATTATCGCAATTAGTCATACATAAAGATCGGCGGACAAATAATAATTATGGGACCGCACGTCCCATAAATATATATACACAGCTATATAATTGCAGTCTCTGTGGCTGTGCAAGTTGAAAACCTTGGAAAAGAATCATTTTTCTCAGATTATTACGTACGTTGGCACTCGGCA